CTGGCTTACTTGCCTCTGTCTCTCTGGCAGTGCACTCAGGAAGGGTCCCCATCAAGCACCATTCAGATGGCAGAAGTGTCCCTTCCTTCCTGGGAGGCAGGTGTCCTGGCTGGGTGGGCGTAAGGAAGGGGAATATATTCACCCTAAATGAAGTTTAAGACCCTAAACGTCCCACGGCAGCCAGGACCACTGCAATGTGACCACAGTGCAATATTGAGGATCCTTGCTCGGGGGAGTTTCAGGCAGAGGAAGAAGCCCCGCTGCTCCTGCCCCCACCCCAGGGGTCAGGTGGTCCCCACACCAGGCCCTGCCCTCAGGCTCACTCAGCATGGCTGTCCCCAGGGGTCCCCTGTCCTCGATATGCAGCAAGGGTGCTCCCTGAGGGAGAAGGGTGGTGGCATCCCAGGAGCTGTGAACCAAGCAAAGAGGCCAACCCTGCATTCCAGTCTCAGCTTAGGTAGGGGCCAGGGCACCCCCAAGATGTCTCAGCCCAAAGATACAAATTTCCTCTCCAAAGCTTCCTTCCGTGAACAGCTAAACCTGGTAGGGATTCTAAAACCACGCTTCTTTGTTTAATTGTTTAATCCCATCTCATTACTGGGCATCAATACCTGGGGTTTTGTGGCCAGCAGATGGGTTGGTGTCGTCTCTAAATCTCAGTTTTCTTGTCTTTTAAAGGTCGTTACTGGAAGTAGGTGAAAATGAAGAAGAAATTACCCAACGCAGCGCCTGGCTCAGCCATGCTGGCCATGAATTCCTACACCCTCTCCTTCCTGCTTTTCATCCTTGTTTTCCCCTTTTATCCCTACCCTTCTGCAGAATGGAGAGACAACTGCTCTTCAGATCTATCCATATTTGTTCACTAGTTGGAGAAAATGTCTGAGTCCGGCTGACACTCAGAGGCAACAGCAGTGCGAGAAACTTACAGGACGGTCCCAGATCAAAAGCTCACCTGTGTCCTGTCTGATTGGTTTGATCTGATTTTCGCCAATTTATTTTGGAAAATGTCAAAGATAGAAAAGTCACAATCCTTGTCAGTCACCAGATAAAACACGCACGATGGTGGCTTCAGTGTGGGTTATTTGTGTGTGATTTCTGCCAGGTTTTTTTTTTTTACTAATCCACTTGAAAGTACGCTACAAACATGTTATAAGAAACGCATAGAAAGATAATTCCATCGTTGTGCAAGCATTGTAAAGTACAATTACACAAACTAGATGGTGCAACCTGCTACAGACAGAGGCCTCGAGGTTCAGCGTATCGCCCTGCCGGAGGCAGCCAGAACACAATGGTATTTGCATATCTAAATAATGAAATGATGTAGCAAAAATACCAGGTGTAGAAATATTTTCAGCTCTGTTGCACGTTGAGATCACCATTATATGTGGTTTGTCATCCTTCAAAATGTAGTTATGCAATCTGTGACTGTGTCACACCTCAATACATCAACGGGTGTGTCCTGCTAGAACGATCTCCCACAAAGCCTCCAAACCATTGTAATCCTCAAGACAATGTTGAATGTAAAAAGATAGTTTAGTGTATAGTCCAGGTTTAGAGCTTTTTTCCTTACCTCTGCAATCCTATCACTGATTATGCATGACCTTTGATTGTCCTGATTTATTTCCCAGAACAATGAACCCTCCTTTATCAAGATAACCATTGTGAAACAGTATTGATATTTTCTACAATTCCATCATGTATCAAAAAGTTAGAAAGTGCTCAGTGGTGGTGGGAACAAGTTAGGAAGCAATAAAGGGTTATCCCTGGTTAAACTTAGGAATCTTTGAGGTTGAAACATTTATAATAATGGATTTGAATGTATAAGATAAAAAAGAATCTGTGTGTCTATAATGACACTGACAATCACAAGCAGGGCAGTAGACTACTCTTGGTGGAAATAGGTTAGAAAACCACTATTCCTAACTGTTGGTGAAGTGATGGACTCTTGAAAGGACCACCAGTGTATGCCAAAACTGCTGGAGGAAAGATTTTGGGTGACAGGATGGGGGATGCAGTCCCAAGATGGACTCGGCACTTTCAAAGGAGAAAAGGGTCCTTAGCAATCCAGTGACCTGAGGAACAGCACCCTAACTTAGCACTTGAAGCCAGCATCCCAGGGATGGGATGCGGGGACACTGTGAGGCTCCCTCTGCACCAGTTCCCATAACGATGTTCAACCAGAGTCTAATCAGGGCAACAACAAGATGCGTCAAGGCTGTAGCCTCTCTCTGGCCAGGAGTCTGGCTCTCATCTGACCCCACTGGAGCGGTCAACAGACCCCCTTTGCCTAGACCTCTTCTGTGTGCCAGGCCCTGTGTGTGTCCTGGGATGCAGAGATGGAGCCTTTGCCATCAGGGATGGAGATGGGGCTCAGGAGTCCCTCGCCTTAGGGTCTCAGGTATTTGGACAATTTCCAAATGGATAGCACCTTCTCCACTAAAGGAAGAAACAAAAGTACACATGTCAATTGCTTTCTTCTGATAAAACCAGGAAGGCCAGTTAAAAGTTAAATCGCTAGAGATTGCACTCAGGAGCAATTTCTGGGCTCCTGATTGTCCCATCGAGCTGGATGGCCGGGTAATTGGGACCATTACCATCACCATCACGGCTGCCTCAGGACTCATGGCGGTGACAACATCAAAGGGCGTCTCCTTGGAGCCTCAGCAAAGCGCAGGTGAAACGGGAGCTGTAATCCGCAGTGGCTCCAAGCACCTCCCCAGCGCTGCTTCTGCCGGAAAAACCGACTCGGCCGCAGCTGTCACAGGCTCCAAAGCCACCCAGAGAGCAACGGCAGGTGAGGTCTGCAGCTGCCCGACCACCTAGCCCTGTCTGGAATTTGAGTTCTTTAAGGTTCCCAGTGTCCAGCACAGCAGCCCAGGAAATGGACCACCGAGACCCTCTGTTCGTGTGTTACAGCATGTAACACATGCTATGCCCGCACAGTGCATCACAGGGGGCAGGCAATAGCACCATAGGTGTACAATCCCCAGAGGACAGCTAGAGACGGGCTGAGGCCCCAAGTGTAGCAGATGCTGTTACACCTGTCCAAGTCCCTCAGTTGTCACCACTTCGTCCTGTGGTAGGGTCTCACTCAGCCTGTGGCCCTTTACTTGGGGTCTTCTCTGGCTGCAGGACCTGTGTGACCAGGACATGGCTTCTGGGAAGTGGCCCTCAGCCCGGACTCAACACCCCTGACCCCCACCCCAGTGGGCCAGTATGGCCACCTGCCTTTAGCTCACCAGGATGGTACTTTTCCTCCTGAGACCACTTTATATTAGCTACTGAACACATCGCTGGTCTTGGGTTGGCTTCAGGAAGAATTCAATCCAAGGCCCCACATAACGTTTAACATATGCAGTGGGCAGGGTGGGGAGCAGGAGGCCCAGGCTGGAAGGGACACTGCAACAGGTCATAGTGGATCAGAGCAGCCCTGCAGAGAAGCACTTGTGGGGTCGAGGATACAGTCAGTGAGGAGTTATCCAGAGGACAAGGACATCAGGACCTAGAGGTATGCAAGACCCAGGCATCCTGTGGACAGCGGAAGCCACACGGGCACCGCTGACCTGCGACACTGCACAGTGCCTCTGCCTCACATGGAGGACAGAGTGCAGAAGAGGCCAGAGCAGGCAGGGAGACCAGGAGGGCAGGTGGTACCTCATGGGGGAGCAGGAACGGGAACGGAGAGAAAGAGAGCAGCAGATGCGAAGGGAAGGGCGCTAGTGTACTCACCACCCCGTCACACGAATGCACACGTGTGCCTCCCTCTGCCTAGAAGTCACCTGGCCTCAGGCGGCAAGGAGGCTGCACCTGATTGCCTGTGACGGTGAGAAAGTGGACGGCAAGAAGGAACCTGAGCCAGGTCTCAAAGGAGAGGTGACACGCTGACAAGCAAAAGAAGACAGCAAGGTGGAAAGAATTTCTGGCAAAGGAAAAAGTTGGAACAAAGGCAGGCGTGTGGGAAGGACAGATGTCTTATCTGACATACAAACACACTGAGAGCTTGTGTGGCCTGCAGAATCTCCAAAACAGCCCCAAGATGTGGCCCCCCCAGGCACACGCCCTGCCTGCTGCCCTCCCCCTGCAGAGCAAGGGCGGGGGTAGGAGGGGGCTTCCTTTCCGTGGCTCACACTCTGAGCGCTCCGGTCCTCTGCGGGAATGGGGGCTCTGCGGCTCTAACCCACAGCTGCAATCCCGGTGCCTAGAAGGCCAGGCCGTATACGCAGGGGGCGCGCACAACAGCTGGAGTGCTGTTTTCTTTTCATAGACTTTTTAAATATATGCATTTCTTTCCACGGCTGCCTGCTGTGATGGCAAGAAGCCCTGATTTTTCCATTAATGTTAATGATATAAAGCTGCTTTTAAAAACAACAAGCTTTGGGCAGCTATAATTTGCATACAATAAACTCAGCAATTTTCAGGGAACGTTCTGGTGGGTTTTGACAAGTAGATGCAGTCACATAACCACCAGGACAATCATAATCTAGTGGAGATCCTAGGATAGTGTATCATTCACAAAACATCCCCACCCCTAACCGTTCCCCCACTGACTCTCCTTTTGAATTTTCTACAATTGTGTATAAAAGGAATCCGGCAGCTGGAACACACTGTTGAGACAGGAGTGTGACTGTTATCAGCAGATCTTGTGGTGCTGTCCCCAGTGAGGGTTTTCCATGGTGTGTTTTTGCATTGGCTCCTTTACCCACTCATCAGTCAAGGCACACATGGATTCTGAGTTAGGCGACTAAGAACAGAGCTGTTACCTGTAAGTGTATGTTTTCATTTCTGCCGGGTTTCAACTGTATATGAAACAATTTTTTTTCAAGGAGGCAGTTCCACTCGAGTCACCACCAGCGAAGCAGAAAGGCACCCTATGCCCCGTATATTTCCAGCACCAGGACTCACCTTTCTCACCTCTGCCAGTCTAGGGCTGTGCAGTGATCTGACACGGCGTATTAGTCAGTGTTCTGTCACTGGAACAAAACACCCAACACCTGACAACGTAAAGGAGTAAAGGTTTATTTTGGCTCGTAGTTTCAGAGGTCGCGTCCATGGTCTGTTGGCACCAAAGCATGGCAGATGGGCACGGCGGAGGAAGATTGCTCCCCTCATGGCAGCTGGAAGTGAAAAGAGAGCCACAGAGAGAAAAAGGTGCCAGGGACAAAATACCCTTCCAGGTCGCATCCCCAGGAACCCGCCTCTGGGAACCAGGACCCATCTCTTCAGAGCACATTCAGCTGTGATCGTGGACCAATCCACTGATGAGAATAACACACTGTGGTCCAGTCACCTTCCACAGCCCCACCTCTGAGCACGTGAGAGGACATTTAGGGCAACCCACAACACCTGGCATCAGCAAAGACCCTGAGCATCCTTCCCTGTGCTTACACACCACACATACCTTTGATGAAACGTCCCTTCAGACCCTCTGCCCTCTCCTAACCAGCCAGCTCACGCTCACAAAGTGGAGCTGGACCCCAGCACCTTCACCACCTGACGTGATTTCCCTTCTTACAAAGACACTTTATAGTGATGTCTGTCAACTGACCTTAACCTAGGGAGATTACCACAGACTAGCCAGGTGGGCCACACCCAGTCACACAGACCCTTAAAAGCTTCGAAGGAGGGCAGAGAGGCTGGACCCTGGAGGACAACGCCACCCTCCTTAAAGATGGAGAGCACTTGGGAAACCCAGAAGGAAATAAGGTCTACCACAGCCACTGAATTGAGACAGTGGTCACAGACCATTGCCCCAGCCCCAGCCCCAGCCGACCCCTTGCTTTCAGCCTGGTGAGGCTTCGAGCAGAGCAACACCCTCCTCCCACCCCAGAGACTTCTGATTTACAAAATTGTAACAGATGGGTGCTGTTTTAAGCTGCTAAATGTGTGGCAATTGGCTATGCAGCAATGCACTAGATCTTTATTAAAAGAGAAAAAAAACACAAAAGCTGTATTATGAGACTCCTAAGTTTCAAGGAAAATAATATGCACACTCTTTAGGGGGATCCACGGATTCCCACACGAACAATTTGCACTCGGGTTGGAGAACACACACAACCCGTTTGGCTCACACCCACCTTTCACCTGGGCCCCATAGGTGTTTCAATTTGTGACTGTAGCTTCCAGAAGCTCTGGAGTGAACCCTAAGGGCTCCCATCACAACTCCCCATCCTTGGACCAGGAACCCCAGCCCTTCAATCCCAGGGAGGCCCGGTTCACGCTTTCCAGTGACCTCATCCCCGCCCCAGCCCAGTCGCCTTCAGAGGTGTTTGCTTCCAATCTTTGGGTTGTTTCTCCTCCCTTTGCAGCCCCAGGAACCAGTCCAAGCCACGTGTGCTCCCCGATGTGTTAACACCGCACAGCTCTCTTTGCAACCAGAGAGCCACATGCTCCTTTAATTACACGGCTGCTATTGAAACACTGAGTGAGAGACAAAAGCCTTCATTTGGGAGGAAAATTAATTGTATACAAACAAGAACACATTTCATCCTGAATTAAAGTCTTCAGCACTCCCTTGGCAGAGAACTCTGGCTGTTTCTTTGCTGTTTGGCGTCCAGTCTCCACCCCCGCTTCCCTGGGAGATTTTCCTGCCAACAGGGCCAGGCCTGCAGGTCCCCCGGGGCTGTGCTGGGCACTTCCGTGCACTGCTGCTTCTCTTGCCCGCCGAGGCTGCCACTGCACCAGCCGCCCTTGAGCTGTGACCCTCCCACGCCAGCCCTGTCCCTTCCACAAAGTCCCTTCCCCTCCAGCCGTGCCCCATCCACAGCGGCTGCTCCTCCCGCTGCCCGCGGCATCCGAGGTAAGCGAAAGATTAAACGTGATGAATCACGGGAGCGGAAGGCACAGCGTGGGGAAGGAGCTCACATTCCCGAGGCTCCGAGATTTATTGCCGAGTGCCACAAATAATGAAATCATCCATCTTCCACAGGCGAAAACAGGAATCCACACTGCAGGTTTGAGAGGGAAGTGGGAAAGTCCTGCCTCCTTCCGGGGTGACCCATGGCCTGGCTACTCTGTGATCCCACTGCCTGGCTAACCCCAGGCCCCTAGGGTGCTGCACACAGCAACACCCCTACCTCACCAGCCACCTCTAGGAGCCAGGTAGTCGCTGACTTAGGCACTCACTGGAGGAGAGGAGCCCCGGGTGTGCCTGGCATGCTGGTGGATGTGCTCCCTTCACCACAGTGCTGCCCTTCACCCTGTGCCATGAGTGCATTCCAAGGGTTCCAAGTTCCGGGACTGCATTCCAGTCCCAGAGCCCCCAGCCTCTGCACACACATCGATCAGGATCCATGCAGGAAACCAGCCACGCTCCAACTGAGTAAGCTGAGACCGAGTGAGGCCTCTACAAAGACCCCAGGGCATTTGTAACATGATGAGGGCATCGGTGAGAGGAGCAAGGACATCAGGACACAGGCGGTGAGCTCACAGGGTCCAGGCAGCTGCCACAGTCCTGCGTGGACCTCCTGCCAGCTCTCCCAGGAGAGACAACCAGATTCAGAGAGCAAAGGGCTGTGAGGTGACATCTCAGGGTCAGAGAAGGAGGCACAGCAAGGTGGAGACGGTGGTCTGTGCCGGTTACCATAAGCTCAGCACCCCAAAGCAACATGCACTTCTTCTGTTACAGCTCCAGAGGTTTTTTTTTTTTTTTTTTTTTTTTTTTCTTTTTATCGGTACCGGGGATCGAACTCACAACTGCCTGCTTGCAAGGCAGGCGCTTATGCCGCTGAGCTAAATGCCCAGCCCTCAGCTGCAGAGGTTTGAAGCCCAGAGTAAGTTCCTGTGACCGCATTCTTCCCAAGGACTAGGAAGGATCCATCTCTTTGCCTTTCCCAATTTCTAGGGGCGGCTCCTATTCCTCAGCCCGGAGCCCCCCATCCTCAAAGCCAGTGATAAGACATCATCTCTGACACCTTCTTATAAGGATCTTTATGAGGATGACACCAGACCCACCTAGATGACCCAGGATCATCTCTACATCTTGAGAGATGCATGACTCATATCTGCAAAGTCACTTTTGATACCAAAGGTCCCAAGTCCCAGGGATTAGGATGGGGACATCTTGGAAGCTGTTTTTAAGGATCTGAGGGGCCACGTGGAAGCCCACTGCTCACAGGTACTGTCACAGCTGCAAGCATTCTACACCAAAGCAGGACACATTATCTCCAACGAGAAGCCTGGGCACAGACCCAGCTGGAGAGAAGAGAAGAGATGCGCTCAGCTAGAGCAAGACTCTGACTCCGTGATCTTCCAGAGCCTCCTCCAGCTCCCAGGTCCTCCTTTCCTTCATGCCCTTGCTGCTGACCAGCCACAGGCCGAGGCTCCTCCATATCCTCCACATGTCAGGAGCAGCCAGCAGCCCACCCCCCTGCCTGGCTCTGAGCACTGCTTGAGCCTCAAGGCAGAACAAGGTCAAAACCTCAGCCTTGAAAATATGCACAGATCATACATAGCCTGTTCTCTCCACCCCGGGACCGATGGTCTGTCCAGGCCTCCCTCACCTCTGAATCATTCTTCAGCCTCCTGGTTAAGCCCAAGTCCCACAGTGACCGCCAAGTCCTCCCATCTGGGCCCCGTCACCCTCTGCCCTCCCCTCTGTGTCGCCCCTTCACAGCTACTCTGGACTCCTGCCATTCCTTGGAGGAGCTGGGCTGTATCTCACATGGGTTCCCACCTGCTGTTCCCTCTGTGGATTACTGTTCCCCAGAGCTCCAAACGGATCCATTCCACATCTTCTGATGTTTCCTTAGATGCCGCATGGCGGTCGCCCCTGACCACTCTACTTCAGATTGCAAGTACTTCTACAAAGTCCTTGTCCCCACACTCTACCCCAGCATGTGTGTCACTATCTGACCAACTCTTCCCTTGGCTCGCTTGCCTCCCATCTTGGATGCCAGCCTGGGGAGGCCCAGTGCTAACTCATTCACTGCTGAGTGCCAGGATCTGACTGGTACTTGGGCACACAGTGAGTGCCCAAGAAATGCTTGTTGAACGAATGACTCTTCCTTCACTCCTAATTGAGTGAAGGATCTAAGACCTGAGCGCCAGAAACTGTGAGAGACAGGCTTCACTTGATGTCAGGCTACCGCGTGTGCACACACAGAAAGTCTAAGGGCAGTGCGGAAAGATTTGAATACAGGATCATCTAGGGGCAAGAGGTCCCTGGGCCCATGGGAGCTCTGTTTCCTTCTAGACTGTCCTCTTGTTGGCTGGTCTTTAGCACTGAACATTCCAGCATGCATGACTGGGGCCCCCTTCTGTTGATCTCACGTAGTGGGCAGAGTCACACCACCCTCCAAGGCATGTGCCGAAGTCCTTACCCCTCAGAGGTCAGAATGTGGCCTTATGAGTGATAGGCTCTTTTCAGAGGTATTTAACTTAAAATGAAGTGAGTAGGGTGGACCCTCATCAAATACGACTGATGTCCTTATCAAAAAGAAACAAGCGAGCGGAGCTGCATAGAGGTGTGACAGTAAAGAGACATGGGGAGAAAGTGTCCATCGGGCCAAGGACAGAGGCCCGGACCAGGTCCTTCCTTCACGGTCCTCAGAGAGAGCCAAGTCTGCAGCCGCCTTGAGGCTGGGCCTCTAGACTCCAGGATACGGGGCAATGGATTTCAACAGTGCACAGGCTCCCCGGTCCACTCGTCTCGTTAAATGAGCCAACATCGGAAACACAAGTGATCTTACCAAAAAGCTCTTGTGGTTCTGGACACTGAGCCTCCTCCTGTCTCCATCTCACCCCCTACAGGCCATCCCACGGGGCTCCTACTGAAAGCTGCTCAGATCCTAACGTCTACCCCGAACCCAGACGCGGGCTCCCAGCACACTTGAGGCAGATCCAACTCCTCGCCCTGGTGATGAGACCCTACGTGTGACCCAGAATCCCCGACTCTCTGACCTTGTCCCCAGCCTGGCACCCCACCACCCTCTGCCCAGCCCTGCCCCCAACCCTGCCCCTCTGGGACTCGCCTGCACCCCATACTGGCAGCCACTTGAGACACCCACTCTCCCCTCGTGCCCTAACCCATGACCTGCTCAGCTGTGACCCTACAGAGTGGCCTTCTTGTCCCTCACCCCACGGGCTGGTGACTTTTTCTTTGCTCCTCTATCCCACTCTCTACCTTCTCCTCCTGTGTCCAGGAGGCTGGGGGTCTGGGGGCTCCCTCCTCCAGCCTGTTGGGTCAGCCCGCAGGAGCTCTGGCATCTGGGGGGTGTCGTCTGATACCCCTTCACCCTGGGCTGCAGCAGCCAAATCGCTAACACCCACAGTTCCTATTGGGCCCCTCCCTGGCTGAAGCCCAGCTGGTTCCCATTCGCTGTTCCCTGCCCAACCCCTGCAGGCCCATCAGATCTACTGTGACACACACCAACTCCAGATACATGACACTTTCGGAGTTCCGAAAGACATGAAAACAATCTGCACCGTAGAACCAACGAGCTAAGTGTATCAGGCCTTTATTTGTATTTGTATTCTGTCTCTTCCACTAGGCTGGGCACTGGCTGAGGCAGGGCAGCACCTGTTGGATTCAAGCAGTCAGAGTGTTGCTGGGCTCCTGGTAGGGGTTCAATGAACACTTTCCAAATAGACAGAGATCTGGCTGTGGCTGCTGACCTGCAGTGATGCCCCTCCCTGGGATTCCACTGTCCCTCCGAGCTGATGGCAGATTCAGCACATGTGATATACAACCAAAATCCGCCCCCAGCAGCTGCATGAGGGACCCCAGAGCCCAACCCCCCAGCCCACAGCAGCACACTCAATGGATCCTGAGCTGGATGCTCCCAGCAAAGCTGCTCCCAGAACTCTGTCCCCCTGAAACTACAAGGTAATGAATGTTTGCTGTTTGAAGCCACTACTTTTTTTGACAGGTGGGAAGCACCCCGCAGAGCCAAGGGGAGCACCCAGCACCCTAGCCCCACCCCACCCTCCTCCCTCCTTGAGCCTTCTGAGGCACCATCTTCTCCCCTAGCAGAAGCACCAGCCAGCAAAAGGGGCTTCCCAAAGCCTAACTGCAGGTCTTTACAGGCTCGCCTTCCCAGCCCAGGGCTGGTGGATGGTCCTCCAGATCAAGATACATTGGAAACACAACACACAAGTACTTGGGAATCTGCAGAGATTTCTGATGCAACCAAACCCACATGGGGAGTTTATTACAGACTACTGTTGGCTCAGGCTCCTGAGGGCACAGGTACAATGCTTACCGCGCCCACCTTCCTCCTCAGAGCCCTGGGCAAGGACCTTTCTTCAATCACTGCAGTGGATTCCACCAGGGAAATGTCACACTCTTTGCAGCCTGACCTACTGAAAGAACTCCCAGCTGTCAAGCACCGACTGTTGATGGGGACATGGTGATGATCACCTTACTGGAGTGTTTAAAAAAACCAAAACCGCGGGCAGGGGATTTAGCCAGCAGCCGTAAGTGCCTGCCTTAGTGCCTGGTCGTGAGTTCAGTGCCCGGAACAAAAACAAAAATCAAAACAGCACAGCTGGGTATCGGGGGGTTTCCAGAGGAGAAGAAAACATGAGAACAAAGAAGGGAAGACAGGACCAGAGGTTCAGGAGAGCGGTGCAGGGAGAGGAGATGCTCTGGGGGAGGAGGGTGAACGAGGTTTGAGTGTGGGCAGCCCTGAGGACACCTAAGAATGCCCAGAGAGTTAGGAGAACAAGAGCCAGGAGGCATCTTTCCGAGGTGTCAGGACTGAGATCAGAAGCACCTTACCGGGGCTTGTAAGAGACAATGCGGGGCCAGGGATAGAGCTCAGTGGCATGAGTGCCTGCCTGGCAAGCGCAAGGTGCTGTTTCAATTCCTAGTAATCGCACCCAAAAAAAGAAACGGAATTAACCTACTGAGAGGCCCCAACATCGCAAAAACCTAAACCAATTCTTTGTAGCCTGCTCAATGGGGAGAAAGAGGAAGCAGTCGCTTTCAGAACCCATAATACAGTTTTCTTAAAAAGAGGAAGAGGAGGGATGGGGAAGAAGGAGCCGGGTGGTGGAAGCCAGCTTTATTTATCTGGAGGTGGGAGCGAGAATTCTGTGACGTAGATAAACTTTACAGGGAGCCCTACCCCTTCAGTCCCCTTGCTGGTCCCTTCTACAGCCCCCAGCAAGGCTGTCCAGGCCACAGTCCTTCCTGGGTCTGGCAATCCTTCGTCCACTGCTGTTGGCCTGGTCCTTCTAGCTCACAGCTCAGTTGGTCAACACCCTGGCAGTATTTTCTTCTTGTAGTTAAAAAAAAAAAAAATCAATCTTTTCCAGTTTTTTGGTATCACACACTGTGATTTGAAGCTTTTGTTCCCATCAGGAACGCATCAGGATCAAATTAAAGTCTAAAAACACAGCCGCATCCCATTTCAAAAGTCTAGCACATAAAAAGGCACACAGAGCGTTCAGATGCAACAGCCAGACCCACAGGGCTCTGGAGTCCAATGTCCTGCGGTCATCGAGGCGGGTGCATCCATCCGAGAGGACTTGGGCGCCTGGTGGCCAGTGATACTGCTGTCCCTGGAAGGGCTGGGCTGGTCTGTGTACCTGGTAGGACTCACCACACTTTCATGGAGTATGTTACATTCTGGTATTCACTCCCAGGGGGATTTTGATTTTTGGGAGCCACCAGCCCCTGGGTATTGGCACCGTCACTCTGACCGCCCTCTTGGCTGTTTCCCATGGGCATTTTCCCTGTCCTCCTCTGCTTCAGGGGCCCACTGTGGCTGCCTCCTGCCTTCCTGTCTGGTCAAGGACCCTGCCTGGGCTGGCCCCTCCCTCCCAGAGTCCCCTCCTCCCCTGCCCTAACTGAGGTTTGCTCTGAGACCTGAGAAATGGCCTTCCCAGACAGTTGTCCTGACCCTGCCACCCTCCATCCCCAGGGAACATGCAGTTGCACCAGACCCCCCCTCCCAGATTTCAGGGTACACAGATGAGTCTGTACCCTAGAAGTTTCCTTTCTGCTCTGCATAACCCAGAGGCAAGACAGAGCTACATCCAGACCATCTGTCATAGACAAGGAAAAGAGAGCAGGATTAAACCACACGAGGGTCACCCCAGCTCTCTGGAAGGCTGAGACAAGAGGATCGAGAGTCCAAACCTATCTGAGCAAGTTACTAATTAAGGGAGCCCCTGTCTCAAATTTTTTAAAAAAAATGAGACCCTGCCTCAAAAATTAAAATAAAAAGGGCGAAGGTTACAACACAGTGCAGTGGCCCCAGATTCAAATGCCAAAGTCAGACAGGGTGGATGGGGGAGGCCAGGCAGACACTGCCGTCCACTCCTGTGGCTTCGGCTCCTCTCACCTCAGGCTGCCCCCCTCCTGCAGGAGAGCCCGCTCCCCCCAGCTCCTCACCTGCAGAAACGCCTTCCTGCTCTGCAATGGAAACATCCTCAGGCCAGTTCTCCCTCGCAACCCTGTCCCTCAGACACTCTTTCTAGATGCCAATCCTGTGCTTTTTTTTTTTTTTTTTTTTTTTGCTTTGTTTTGTTTTGGTTTTATTGTTGTTGTTTTTGGGATCTGCTTTTGCTGTATAGCCTAGGCCGATCTTCAGCTCACAGCAATTCTCCTGCCTCAGCCTCCCACGTGCTGGGATTACAGGTGTGCACAGTGTGGACCCTTATCTCTATTAATTCCCTACCACCGTTTCATCTTGTTTGTTTTGATCTTTGTTTCTGTTTTTGGGGAACTAAGTACAATAACCATTGCTCTTGTCAGTCTCTGGGGTAACGTAAGACCATAAATATGTCTGAGTCTGGCATTAGCCAGGTCCCCCGTGTTTGGTGTGAAATCACTGTTTTACTTTCAACTTCTAGGCCATAGAATCAGCCTTTGCACCCTTGAGCTCCACATCCTTAGATTCACCTGACCCTTAGACCAAAAATACTCACAAAAATGTTTTTGCATCTGCACTGAACGCGGACAGGCTTTTTTCTTGTCCTTGTGCCCTGAACAATGTGGCACAACAGCTATTCCACAGCACTCCTGTTGTGTCAGGTATTATTGTTAATCTAGAGGCAATCTGAAGCGTGGCGAGGACATGTGTAAGTCAAATGCAAACGCTGTGCAAGGTACTAGAGCGTCCCTGAGTTTGGTGTTTGAGGGGGTCCTGGACCTCCTCCCCTGTGGGCAGCTGGGATAATGCTTTGCAGAGAGCTTTCCAATAAAATGGAGAAGTGTCCAGCTCAATGAGTTTTGACAACTGTTTCCACCCAATAAAGCAATGACCCCAGTCAAGACAAAACAGCCAGGCATGGTGGCTCAGGCCTGTAATCCACCACTCCGGAAGGCTGAGTGAGGCAGGAGGATTACAAATTTGAGCTCAGCCAAGATACTTTAGTGACTTAGTGAGAACCTCTCTCAAAATGGGAAAAAAAAAATGTGAAAAAGAATTTGAGATACAGTGGATTCAATCCCCACTACCACAAAAAGGAAAAGAAGAGAGAGACAGACATCAAATACTTCCAATGTGGCTACAATTTTATAATTTTAATGTCATTTGATTATGATCAGTACATAGCCTGTAAAAGGTTTTTTATAAATTTTGTTGAAGTGTTTTTTGTACTCAAATGATCAAAAGGAATAATTCCATTAAAATATTTTTTCAGAATATTTAATATTCTCTCTGGAGTGCATTCCTAGCCTGCTCTCTGCACCCCTGAGGGGGCCCATCCACCCATGACAGCCCTCATCAGGCTGCAGTCAGACAGGCCTTCCCACTGCACCCCAGAGCTCCCCTCCAGGAGACCCCGAGCTCCTGGAAGGTCAGGGCCCACGGTCAAGGTCACCTCTGTGACCCTGGAGCTGCGTGGGGCACCTGTGATCTAGAGCACGTGCCCTCATCTGCAGCCTCCTCTCTGCACTGGCCAGTTCAGGGCAGGATGTTTCAGATTGCTCTTCGGAGGGCCTGAATAACTCCAGGAAATTTGAGAATCGGCCTGTTGTCTCCCACGCCATGACCCAGAGGCTCGAAATAAGCAAATCGGTTCCAGCACGACCTCTTTCCTGTCTCAGGGAAGGGGCTGATAGACAGAGAGTCGATGGACTCCATCAAGCCAGCAGAGGTGGGCGGAGACAGCCTTGACCAGGGCATCTCTGCGGTCCTCAGAAATCCAATCCAGGACAGCGCGCATCACAACATCCCTGGGCCTGAGCTGGCCAGCGGTCCCCGCAGGGACGGGGCATGAGCCCCTGTGATCAGCCAGCAGAGATGGGGAGTCTCCACTTACCCCCTAAGCTTGGCCTCGGCCTCGAAGGGCAGTGTGTACCTGCAGG